TGATTATGCAAGAGGAAAGACAGACTGGCAGGAAAGTAAAGAGAATTCGAAATGATAATGGAGGAGAGTATATTTCAAACTATTTGAGGCGATGGTTATCTAGTAAGGGCATCAAACAAGAATTTACTACAGCTTATACTCCTGAAAGCAATGGAAAAGCCGAAAGATTCAATAGAACCATAGTTGAGTCAGCTAGAACCATGCTAATTGATTCTAAATTACCTTTAAAATTTTGGAGCGAAAGTGTTAAGGTGGCTGTTCATATAAATAATAGAATTAAAATCAAAGAAATGAATGCAACTCCTTTCGAGATATACAAAGGATGGAAACCAAACATTGTTTACTTAAAAAGGTTCGGAAGCGAAGCTTATGTTCATATTAGAAAAGAAAAGAGAAAGAAGATGGAACCAAAAGCTCATAAAGGGATCATGATGGGCTATAGTATGATAAGAAAAGGCTATATAATATATTTACCGGAAATGGATGAAATTCATGAAGTATCAGACGTTAAATTTAATGAAGCTAAGTTAGGATATTATTTAATGAATAATAGAGGTAGAAATCTTGATAAAAATGAACTTTTCTTTTTTTGTAGAGAAGACAAAAATTTGATTTCTCACGGGAATGAAGACTATGGTGGTAATAGAGAAGACCAAGTAGAAAATTTTAACATCGATGATGAGCATATTCCTCAAGATGAAAATGATATAGATTTGAGTGAAATAGAGGAAATACCTCCTGATGAAATAATTACTCCACATAGAAGAGGACCAGAACCAGGAATGACGAGAGAAAAGAGAGAAGAACGAGATCTTCGTTTGAGAGAAACAGAGGAAGAAGAACTTATAAAAAAGGGTGTGAGGAGATCTGAAAGATTAAGACTAATAAAGAATAAGGAAAATGTTTCTGATAGAACTTTTGAAATTAAATGTCCGAGGGATTACCAAGAAGCACTGAATTCTGATGATAGAAAACAATGGATTAAAGCCATGGAAGATGAGATGCAAAGGATTAATAAGTTAAAAGTTTGGAGATTGATAGATAGGCCTAAAGATAAAAAATTGATCAAAAGTAGGTGGATTTTTTCAATTAAGAAAAATAGTGATGGATCAATTAAAAACTTCAAAGCGGGGCTAGTAGCTACTGGATATGATCAAATATTGGGTAGTGATTACCACGAAATTTATTCTCCAACAATAAGACCTGAGACCATAAGAATTCTAATAAAAATAGCTGCAATGAAAAAAGTTATTCCTCAGCAAAAGGACGTTCAAACAGCTTTTTTATATGGTGATTTGGAGGAGGAAATATTTATGCTTCAACCTCCTGGATATGAAAAGGGAAACAACAAGATTTGTTATCTAATGAAAAGTATTTATGGCCTTAAACAAGCGAGTAGAATGTGGAATAAGAAATTAGATGAATTATTAACCAATGCAGGAATGAAACAATCTGCGAATGATCCATGTTTATATTATTGCAATTTTAGAAATCATTTCTTATATCTGGGAATTCATGTGGATGACATACTAAGTGTAGGATCTGGTGACGATTTTGAGGAAAATATTTGGAAAAGGATAAAAAGAGAGATAGATATCACGGATTTAGGAGCTGCAAAAAACTTTCTTGGAATGGAATTTGAATATAGGGATGATAGTATTTTTATAAATCAAAAGAAATATATTGAAGAAATATTGGAAACCTATAATTTACGTGATTGCAATCCTTCGAAAACTCCGTTATGCATTTCTACAAATTATGATTTATTTGAAAATAGTAAATCGATTGATCAAAATTACTATCAAGAAATTGTTGGAAAGTTGATTTACATAGCAACTAGAACTAGACCGGACATTTGTAATGCTATAAGCAATATGAGTAGATTTAATAAAGATCCTAGAGAGGTTCACATGAATGGATTGAAGAGGATATTAAGATATTTGAAGGGAACTATGAATTATGAATTGATTTATTCTAGGGGAGATTCAAGTATTGTGACTTATACTGATGCGAGTTGGGACAGAACAGCTGATGCGAGATCGTATTCTGGTTTTGTTATAGAAATGGGAAACAACTTACTTAATTGGAAAAGTAATAAACAAAGAAATGTTGCCTTGTCAACTGCAGAGAGTGAATTAGAAGCCTTATCTGAAGGAATTAAAGAATTGATTTGGACACGTAACATCATTGGAGAAATAAAAATTGATTTGAAAGATCGAATTACTGTTTATTATGACAGCCAGAATGCTATTTCAATGATTAAGTCAGAAAATATGAAAGCAAGTACGAAGTACTTGAATAGAAAGTGTCACTTCATAAGACAAATTGTGGAAGATGAAGAAAATGAATTTTTGCATGTCCCATCCGAAGAAATGAAAGCGGACCATCTCACCAAGAGTGTGGATGCTGTCAAGATTAAGAACTGCCTAAGTGGTGGAGTTACTTTTTGAGGAATGAAAATTGAAAATTTGAAGGGGAGATTTGTTGATATTTATAATTTAAAATGTTCATTTTTCATTCTATGATTATATTAATCTGTGGATTATTTTATTCTGTGGTGTAGATTATGTGTATATATATAGGTATTTTCTTTGAGTGAGAGTGGTGTTTTTGTTTTTTAGAGTAGCGACATGAATCCTGCCAAGAAGAAAAAGAAGGCCTACAAGCCTACAACCCGCATCGTGAACGTCGCCGACCTGGAGAGGGAAGATGAGATGGTGATCTCACGCAACTGCAGCATCCTGAGCTCCATTGGCCATCCTGCCCTGAAATCCCTGCATGAGGACCTGATCCGCTACATCGCCTCGCGGACTGAAATGATCAAGGCCCTCGCTACCAATGTAGAGAACCTCACTGACACCCTCGAGTCCTTCGCAGAGTTGGACGAAATTGAGGAGGCCAACAAGCCCAAGACTGCTTGCCGCGGCACTCAAACCTGCCCTGCTCCTTCCTGCAATGAAACCAGCTCCCAGACTGACCCAATCAAGCCCGCCACTCCTGCTCCTGCTGCTCTCCCTGCCAAGAAGCCTGCCTCCTCCCTGCCTGCTCCTGCTCCAACCAAAAGGAAGCAGTCTGAAGCTCCCAACCCGCCTGCAAAGAGGACAAACCTGAATGGTCCTTCAAAACCTGTGCCTTCCCACGTCTCCAAGCCTGCGGCCGCCCAAGTGATCCTTCATGGAGAAAAATCGGCGGCCCACACAGTGGTCATCTCAGATGACCCACAGGCTGACCCAAGGGAGATGCTGAAAACAGTCCGCGCTGCTCACACTCTCCCCCAAGGCGTTTGGGCCTCCCTGCGCACCAAGGGGAAGCTGGTCCTCCATTCCAGCAATCCTGACACCATCCCTGAGGTTACAACCTCCCTGGCCAGCAAGTTGAATGGAATGAAGGTCCGCCAGCAGAAGGAGATCCTGCCACGGATCTGCCTCTTCAAAGTGGATGAGGAGACATCCAACTCCACAATTGAGGAGACCTTCCTGGAAACCGCTGCTGTTAGAAAACTTCCTGGGGACAAGGTGGTGCGCGTGGCGCACCGTTCTGCACCCAGAAACGGGACCTGCACCGCCTTCATCGAGGTGGACCTCAAGACCTTTAGAGCCCTGGGCGTTCGCGGGAGGATCGTGGTGGATGGAGTAATCCTCAACTTCGAGGAGTCCATCCGCGCCCGCGTCTGCTTCCGCTGTTGTGGCTTCGGCCACAACTCTGCCCAATGCACCAGAGCTCCCAAGTGCTTCCACTGCGGTGAAGACGGCCATGAAGGCCGAACCTGCCCATCCATTGCTGACCAGCGCACCTCCAAATGTGCCAACTGCTGCTCCCAGGGCCTTCCTGACAAGCACGAGGCGAGAGCCTCAAGCTGCCCCATCCTGAAGTCTAGGGCCCTCAAGTTCTAGGCTTCAAGGACCTTCTGCCTCCATTTCCATCTGCCACTTCTCCTGGATTCCTGGCCTATTCAACGCACCCGCCTCACTGCACCCTGGCGCTATTCCCCTGCTTGCCCAACGTTTCCACCACCCCTGCGAGACATCTCCTGCTTCCACATCCTAGGGTCCCTTGCCACCTGACATCGATTTTGGGCTCAAAAATCATAACTTTTGGTTAGTAGCCCGTAAATAAAGATATTTTCTCTCTCTCTCTCTGAGTGAGAGTGGATTCGACGGCGCGGGCTGCTCGAGAAATCGACTTACGCAGCGACCCATTTGAACGCGCTATGCAATCCATGGTGTACTTTTCTGGTTGGTCGTCTTAGCACTGGTACCCTCACCAGTAATCTTACCTAAAACTTTAATATATTCATTTTTACAAAATATATATATATATATATATATAAAAATAATAAAATAATAATAATAATAATAAATAATAAAAAAAAAATCTATCTTTTCCCATCAGTTGCTGAATCATTCTCGCTTTATCTAATATTCTTATTTAAACAACAGCTGTCTTTCTTTTATTTTCCCTGGCCTGGGGAATCTAACCTTTTTGAACAGCCTTGGTTGCGTGCAGCACCTTGATACTTTGACACTGTGCATTGCGGCTTGTCTGCCTGCTACACCTTTTGGGCTTAAAAATCGTATACTTTAATCATTGCGGTCTGTCTGCCCTCCACGGTCACCCCTGGGCTCAACACCATTGAACCCGTCTCTGCCACCCCCTGAACTCCCTGGATCACCACCCTGCTCCCCCCCCCCCCCCGGTCCTCCTCTACATCCCGGCTCTCCTGGCCTCACCTGGCGATGATCCCTGGCCACCCATCCCCAGGCCCCTCCAACTATGCTTTGTATATATTCCGCTTTATGCGTCCATCGGGGCTCAAAAATCATTCATTTTGGTTAGCAGCCCCGTAAAATAAATATATTTTCTCTGAGTGAGAGTGGTTGAGAATCTGTGTGGAGACGTATGAGTTTCTAAAACTCTTTTTATAGTAATTTGACTTCATTGTAATTAGTGTCTTCAATAAAGAAGTTTTTTACTTATAATAGAAAATAATTATTAAGATTCTCCCAACAAATCGAACCCACGACCTTCCGCTTACTGGGCAGATGCCATGACCACTAGGCTACCCTGGACATATTTTTCCGTTCATAAAGTTAATATATGATGCCAATATATATAATAATTGTATAAACGAATGCAAGACAAAATCACCGCGAATGTTTCTTTTTTTTAAGGCAATTTTTGTTTCGATTTTATTGAAAAAAAAAAACGATATGGTGCCTTTAAAAAATGATCTTTATTACTATGCAGTTTTCTATTTCGTCAATATACCTAAGTTCATGTTGCAAATGTAATTATCTCTATCGATTTAGTATGTGAAATGCAAAAAAAAAAAATCGACATGATCAAATCTTTATGAAAATTCACATTTTTATTTTTATATTTTCAAGACACACACAGTTTGGGGCGGGACGTTTCACAAGAGAGACATCCACGGCGCCAATTTATAATTGTAACGAATAGTATTTTAATTAAAACATTTTAAAAACACACAGTTTGGAACGGGACGTTTCACAAGAGTGACATCCATGGCGCCAATTTATAATTGTAACGAATAGTATTTGAATTAAAACGTTTTTAAAATATATACGCACTCGGGTAAAACCCGGGCGTTGCCAGGGCCATTCGTCTAGTCTACTTATATAATTGCCTTATTCTGTCTGTGTGAAGTTCACTGTGTGAAGTTCACGGATAGATTTTGGTCAGAATGGATAAAATAAAAAAAGTGTCAAGGGATGGGAATCGAACCCACGACCTTCCGTTTACCGGGCAGATGCCATGACCACTAGGCTACCCTGGACATATTTTTCCGTTCATAAAGTTAATATAAAGTTAATTTATTACTATGCAATTTTCTATTTAGTCAATATACCTAAGTTCATGTTGCAAATGTAATTATCTCTCTCGATTTAGTAGGTGAAATGCAAAAAAAAATCGACATGATGAAATCTTTATGAAAATTCACATTTTTATTTTTATATTTTCAAGACACACACAGTTTGGGGCGGGACGTTTCACAAGAGAGACATCCACGGCGCCAATTTATAATTGTAACGAATAGTATTTGAATTAAAACGTTTTTAAAATATATACGCACTCGGGTAAAACCCGGGCGTTGCCCGGGCCATTCGTCTAGTCTATATATATATAAATGAATGTATGTGTGTGTGTGTGTCCTTTATGCCTGACCAAACTACTCATTGGAACGCCATGAAACTTTGGGAAGTTATTTAGTATAGTACTGGGGAGGTTTCTAGCAAATAAAATTTTTGAAATAACTTTTCGCCTAAAAATAATCAAGATAAATATTCTAATTTATCTGTTATAATTCAACAATCTGCTCTAAATATTATCATGATGATACGATGATTTTGTAATGTAGAAAATTAGGAAAGACAAAATTCAGGATGACACGCCAATTTATTTGAGACAAGAATAATGATACAATTCCAAGGCAAGATACTATTCCTTTAACTTCCAATTACCGAGGGAACAAATTAATATTGATTTTATTCAACTTATCGAGTATTTTTCAAGGGACCGGGAAAATATGTTCACTTTATCGAGAGATTCGTTAGACAAACCTTTACTCGGGTAAAACCCGGGCGAAGCCGGGTACATCCGCTAGTAAATAATAATAATTACCATGACTCGCGTGAGGATGTATATAAAAAAGAGAGAAATTCCCAATTGAAAGAATTTAAGACTTATCAGTTCACACACGTTGGCTGATGCAACAATTCTCTCTGATAAAGGGAGACCTTAAATTTGACCTCTCGAAAATCTCAGACTCGGAGTTCATTTCCCGCTCCTTTTAAGGGAATACTGTCTCCTTTGTCACATTTCCTCTCGTCCTCGCTTCAATCATTATACATATAAGTCAGATTATTGCTATTTTTCTCCATCACGCTGTTTAAAAAAAAAAAAACTAAATATTCACAGAAAAGAGACACATAAAGTTGAATTTCTCTCTGGAGGACACCTAGTTACAGAACCAAATGTCCTTCAGAAAGAGTTGCCCTCTTACCAAAGAGTCTCTATTTGGTAAAATTGTTATTTTAGAGATGAAAACTGTTCTTTGTAGAGAGGTCTCCGCTAGCGCGAGTGTCCTCTCATGTCCTTTACTGTAAAATCAATAAAAATCATGATATATTAAAGAAAAATAAATTTGAATATTCTTTAAAATGATTTAGCAAAAATAATTAATATATTAAAAAGTTAATTGATAAGGAATTATGTAATAAATATTCGATATTTTCAACATACAGTAGAACCTCCATGAGAGGATACTCCCGCAAGAGGGCATCTCTCTACAAAGGGCAGTTTTCATTGTAAAAATTATCATTTTCACTCGTTAGCTATTCTCTGATAAGAGGACATCTCTCCCTAAAAGACACTTTCTTTCTGCAACTAGGTGTCTTTTACAGAGAGGTTCTACTGTATATGATTAATGTGTGAGGTAATCAATATAAAATATTAATAATTATTAATATTATTATAACGACCGAGAGCAGATGACGGGAGACCTGACAGACAAGAATAGATTAAGTCAGGGGATCATTTTATCGAGGAGCCACCAGGAGATGCCATAGAAAGACTGCTGGAAAGCTGCAGGATATCAGGGGACCGTATCTGTGAGGGCCACAGCACTGACCAGTAGTCAAGCTAGCAAATTTAAATATCTTTTTTTGCTTTTACAGTTATTATTTATTGAAGTTGTAAATAAAAATATGTAAATAGACTGACCATTCGTTACACTTTTTAGAGAAAAACTTGTAGCCTTTTTGAAAAATAAAGTTATTATTATTATTGATTACTAGACGGGTGACCCGGGCTTCGCCCCGGGATTGACCCGTGTGCATATCTACCCGAGTGGTATATATTTAAATAAGATTTTTTTAAAATAATTGTTTGTTATTAGCATTATATATTTGTTTGCATCAGCATAATTCAATCTAATCTTTGATAGAGGCGCTGTTCGTGAGCTAAGTAGAATATTTTGAATATATAGTTTTAATAATTGATTTATATATTTTTTAAAATAGCCTATCGTCTTCCCCGTATTTATTTACCAATGTATGTAAATTTTGGTTTGAATTAGTGAACTACTGCGAATTTGTATACCGGACATACAAACAAACAAACATTCATTTATATATATATACTAGCGGACGTACCCGGCTTCGCCCGGGTTTTACCCGAGTAAAAGTTTGTCTAACGAATCTCTCGATAAAGTGAACATTTTTTTCCCGGTCCCTTGAAAAATACTCGATAAGTTGAATAAAATCAATATTAATCGGTTCCCTCGGTAATTGGAAGTTAAAGGAATAGTATCTTGCCTTGGAATTGTATCATTATTCTTGTCTCAAATAAATTGCCGTGTCATCCTGAATTTTGTCTTTCCTAATTTTCTACATTACAAAATCATCGTATCATCATGATAATATTTAGAGCAGATTGTTGAATTATAACAGATAAATTAGAATATTTATCTTGATTATTTCTAGGCGAAAAGTTATTTCAAAAATTTTATTTGCTAGAAACCTTCCCAGTACTATACTAAATAACTTCCCAAAGTTTCATGGCGATCCAATGAGTGGTTTGGTCAGGCATAAAGGACAAACAAACAGACACACATACATTCATTTTTATATATATATAGAATAGATATAGATAATCCATATAATAGCGCATATGATTATTAAATCAATAGTCAAAACTTAGGTAATGTGCTTGCCCCACAAGAACTTAATTAATATTAAGTACATGTTTTCAACAAGAATTATATGGCATAATTTATATAACATTGTAAATTCTATTGACTACTTTTGTAATATTGAACAATGACTAATTGATAAAACAACCCCCAAGAGAGAAGTTTTAATGTCAACTAGAGATGGGAAATCATATATCAAACTCAATATCTAGTCAACCCCATGTGTATCCAAGGTGAATGGTATAAATTAATGTGTTTATGACATTCAATGCTGTATATAATCACTCAAAAATTATATCTTTACTTCTTATTTTATCCTTTTTCATATATTTTTATACATTGTGCTTAGCATTATTATCAATTATAAGTTGTCAACACCTCCTTTATATTATTAATCATTATTTACACAAAACATATCCAATATTATTTTTATTCTACAACCCCATATTAAATATTGAGAAATTTAATAAAAGCTATAATATTCAGTGCAACCTTTCTTCGTTTTGATTGAAAGGCTTATAGTTCAAGGGTTCAAATTTTATGGGTGTCTTTTGGACTATCTTGAAATATGGCAGCCTAGTTAGGCTAATCAGGAAAACTTTCATGAGAGCAGATACCACCTCTATACAAAGAACAGTTTCATCACCAGTATTACCATTTTACTAATTAGCAACTCTTTAGTAAGAGGCCACCTCTCTCTAAAGGACACTTTTTCTCTACAATTAAGTGACTTTTATAGAGGCTCTACTGTATTTCTTTGTATGACCCTTGCTATGACAAACTTAGTAATGAATGTCAAATTTTTGATTGAGAGGATCTGAGTGAATAAAGAAAACACCTTTATCTCGAAAATTATTAAAGAATCCTCCAGTCAGAATTGAATATATTTCATTTATAATTCTAGATCATTCAGAATAACCCTCGTTTTCTTGGAGCCGTCAAAAGATCTTTAATTCTATCCAACTTAAACTAAAGCTAGCAACCAATCATGTATTGGTTGGTGGGATTCCATCTGACACATGCTAATCTCTCTCTCTATATATAAAAGTCAATGTGTATATATATACAGTTAAACCTATCTATAGCGCCCCCTCTTAGGACTCACCAAAATAGGGTGCTATATAGAGGGGGTGCTATAGACAGGTCACTTTTAATGTAAATCGCATCGTACTACGTCTTTAAAATCGTGCGCTATAGAGAGGGAGGCGCTATTTAGAGGAGGCGCTATAGACAGGTTTAACTGTATATGTTTGTCGGCTATGCCCGTTCTAAATACGTAACTAAAATGGCCGAAATTTCAACAGGACAAAGAGTTGAATTTGGAAGAGATTTTTTGTCGCATTTTTAACCAAGAAA